CTGCAGACCAGCACCAAGTAGGGTAAATTTTGCAGCAAATAAAGGGGAAATATTATCAATAGTTGGATGTAAATACAAATATAAATGGAATATAAATAATATAAATATAATGTGAATAATATAAATATAAAATACATTTAGGATATAGAAATAGAAAGAGAAGCAAAGCCAAGAAAGCAGGAAGGGGGTTAGGGTTTAGGGGAGCTAAGTCACTGTGCCCCACCAGTTTATTTGGATATAGGGCCACTGAGATGAGTGATGGGCAGTGACTCTGGGTTATCCCTGTTGTTCCCCCACCACAGGCTGCAGGAGGGGAGGGAGGAGGAGTGGGGTAATGTCCCCTTCCTCTGCCACCCCTCTTCTTGTCCCCATTAGCTTGAAGTTTTATCTTAGACCAGACATGGCTTAAAACCAGCCCTAAATGGCACTAGACCCTCATGGCTTAAAATGAGCCCTGTGATGTGTTATTTGGCTCCTGGCTGTATCCTGAGCATCCCACAGGCTCTGCTCCCCGTGAGATCTGTCCTCCCATCCCCACAGAGCTGGGAGGGGGGATATGGAAACATTCCCTCCTTAACCTGCCCCTTCCAGCTGTGGTTTGTGCACTTCAGCCCCGAGCGCTGCCTGCAGGCCCTGTGCTCCCACCTCACCCACCTGCAGAGCACAGCACAGGTAAGGGGGGTGGGCACAGCCTGGGCACAGCCTGGGCACAGCCTGGGCACACCTGCAGGTCCAGCCCTGAGCCCCGGGGTTGATGGGACGGGGGCAGAGAAGTGTTTTGATCCAGTTATTAAAATTATTAGAAATGCCTCTGCCCGAATTAAGGTGCAAACAAGACCAGCTGCCAAAGGCAAGAGTATGGATTTTAGTTAACAGCAAATGTGAGTAATTTAACAGTTAATAATTTAACAGTACCAATTAATTTAATATTATTTAATTAATGATTAAACAATAATCAATAATATAAAATTATTAAGAATAATCAATTAATTAATTGAATAAAATAATTAATAATTATTAAAAATAATAAATAATTTATTAATAAAATATTTGATTGTAAAAATAAATATTATAATAGATAATTTAATAAAATATTTGAATTTTAAAATAAATATAATAAATAATTAATTAATGAAATAATTAAATTTTCAAAAAATATTTTATTATAAAATAATAGTAATAAAATTAATAAAATTAATGAGATTAATAAATATTAGCCAATTACTATTAATTAAATAATAACAAATTAATAACAGTACCAATTCATAATTAAAACGGTAACAATAATTTGAAGAGTAAATGTGTAATTTACTGTTATTTAACAGGACATGAGGCAGAGAAAGAGAGAATGAAATAGGAAAAGGAGGAGGGGGAAGAAAGAGAGTGACAGAGAGAGATTAAAATAGAAAATTTATCATCACCCTGTGATGATTTTGACAATATTTAAGAGATTAACACCATTTCAGCCCAACACAGCAAGGACAACCGAGTGTTTGAGTGCCCTCCTAAGCTTCTCCTGCTGGGAACTGGGCAGACTGGGAGGTGGATCAACTGTTCCTGCTGGTGCCCAGTTCAGCAGGAACTTGTTTCGATTTGTTTATTTGTTATGTGCATGTCTGGGTAATTAACTGCACAACTTTAATGAAGGAAAGTCATCAGGAACCAAAGAAAGGCGAATTTTGGAAGCACGTGTCCCAGCTTGAAACAGCTGACACCTTGAGCTGTCCTCCTGGAATAAATGGGATGGCCTGAGGGAGGAAAAAATGCTGAATTGGGTTAATTGGATAAAAATGTTGTCCTCTTGGCCTCCAGGGAAATGTTTGTCTCTCTGTGGGTGTATAAATATCCCCTGAACTGCCCTTGCTGGCTGTGGGATGAGAGGTGAAGGGGTACAACCCTCCCAAAACCTCCAGGTTGCTCATCCCCCTGCTGAACCTGCAGCTGCAGCCTGGGGGGATGGACAGTGACCCCCCCCAGTCCACACACAGGGGAATTTATAGACTTACATTTTAAAAAGTCAGATTTTGAAGACTCAGATCTTTAAAAACTCAGATTCTAAAGACAAGATTCCCCCTGTCAGGCCGTGACCATAGTGCTGGGAGCAGTCACTGCCACAAGAGTTCCTGGTTGTGGGATGGACACCCACCTCCAAGTGCTCGGGATGGCAAATCCCAGGAGTGAAAAACATGCAGGAGGAAATTGTTTAAGCCCTTTAAAGGCTGTTGTCAGGACACCACTGCTTTTGGAGAACCCAAAATCTTTCTCTTCCAGGCAGGATTGAGGCACAGGCTGGACAAGCTCTGTGTGGTCATGGAGGCAGCAGTTCAGCCTGACCTGGGGACAGGGGATGAGGAGGCTCCACGTGAAGAGTCCCCTCTTTTATCCAGTGGGGAGAACCTGAATAAAAAGCCTGTGACATGCAATGAGCTGCTCTGCCTCGTCCCTGAGGGCCCACCAGAGGTAAGGAGAAACATCCCTCCCTGACAGCTTGAGGCACCAAATCACCTCCCCAGGCAGCTCAGCTCCAAAACTCATCCCAGCACCCACCAGCCATGGGAGACACCTCCTTTTTCACCACCAGAAGCACCTGGAATTCCACACACACCTTTTCCAGCCCTGCTGCTGCTGAGCAGTTCAATCAGCCAATGCTTAATCCTTGAGGAATTCATGGCTTGGGCTTTTCCTTGCTGGTGGCCAGGGGTCCCAGTTTGGAAGACAAACTCTACCCAGGGTCTGTGCAGGGACCTGGTGCCCCTCTCCAGGCTGGGGATGAGTTATGAATGTGCCCAGCCTGTGTTCCCTCCATGGAAAGTGCCTTCAAAGACTTGTGCCACGCTGAGCAACAAATGTGTCCTCATTCCTGCTCAGCAAGGAGCTTCAAAAGGGATGATTTTGATTTATTTTCCAGTTTTCCTCTCGCTGTTACTAAGTGAATTCTGTGCAGGTGCCATCCCTGCAGATTGAGGCTCTCTGGCTGTCTGGAGGCCAAAAAAAAAAAAAAGCCAGAGGAGGCAGTGACAGAGTGGGCAGGTCCCCAGGCTCCTGGGCCATTCACGGGTCATTTTGTGTCCCTCCCCTGTGGGGACAGTGCTGACCAGAAGGGAATCTGGGACAGTTATATGTGCCATTGGCTGCTGTCCTGCTCCTCTCAGAGCAGGACAGTCCTTGAAGGAGGGAGCAAGTGGTGTTTAATGCCACTCTCTCTGCCCAGCTGCTCTGCCCTGACGCCTCTTTGCTCGTTCCAGGCCATGGCCCAGCAGCTCCTGGTGCTCTTCAGCGGGTGCTACGTCCGGCTCCTGGTCACAGGGCAGCTCCCTGGGGCCGTGGCAGGGGGGCACCTGGAGCCCAGCACCGTGCCCTGTCTGTGCCAGTTCATCCAGACCACCGTGCTCGACTCACACCAGAGCTGCTTCAGGGGCAGGTGACCCCCAGAGGGGGCTGGAAAACACCAAAATAAAAGCTGCCCCTCCACGCCAGTGGGGCTGTGATCCCTCATCCTGGATTTACCCAGATCATGTGGAAGTAGGACTCCAATAAAACGTGCAAGACACTCACAGAAAAGCCTCGGAGACCTGCCTGCCCCTGGCTCAGGGGGAAGGAGCTGCCCCAGGGGTCAGAAACAATCCAGGGACAGGCTGGAGCTCCTGTGGGACATTTCTCACTGCTCAGAGAGCCACAGGGAACACCCACAAGTGCCAATCCCACGCCTCTGGAATGAAGCACGTGGGAGTTTTCAGTACAAGGCAGACAGGGAAACGCTGCCTGGGGGTGTTGGAAATGTGCTGCTGGCTCTGGGTTGTGTCTGTGCCACACAATTGTCAGGGACAGTGTCTCTGCCCTGTGACATGTGGGCACTGTCCCAGCTGATGACTCAGCACACCTTCCACTCAGGAACAAGGTGGGGACGGTGCTCAGTACCTGCTGCTTCTAATGCCTCCCCTGGGAGGGAGGTGATGGGCACGGAATCATGGAATCACAGAGCTGGAAGGGACCCACAAGGATCATTGAGTCCAACTCCTAGCTCTGCACAGGCCCATCTTCCAGAGTCACATCTCATAGAAACACAGAATGGTTTGGGTTGGAAGGGACCTTAAAGTTCAGCTCATTCCAACCTCCTGCCATGGGCAGGGACACCTTCCAGCAGACCCCTGGTGATCCTTGGGATCAAGCCTTGGAGAGGGCACTGGGTAGGGCATCCTGGGGCACTGCTCTTTTCAAGCTCCCTTTTCTGCTCCATTTTCAGGCTGATTTCCTTTGTTTTTCCTTTCCTCCTCTCTCCATGCTCTCTGTTTGCACACAACACATGAGAGGAGCCAGTGGTGAGCAGGAGACCTCAATGTGTCCATGGGATCCAACAGGGAATGGGAAAGGAAGCAGTGTGGGTTGTGTGCTCAGGTGGTGCTGCTGTCCTCCTGTCCCACAGCCAGGCCCTTCCATGACATTCCAGTGGCTCCTTGCACTGGTGTGACCACCTAACCCCCAGTTTGGTGGTGACACCTGCCCCAGGGAGTGGCAATGTCAGAATAAAGAGCCCAAGGTGTGCATTTTCCAGCCTTGCTGTGGCTGTTCTCCACCTTCCAGCCTGCCCTCCCTCCTTCCCCCCCCATCCCCTGCAGAGCCCCACAACCCCCAGGGCAGGGTTTGTGCCTCTCCCACCTTCACAAAGCCCAGCATGGCCCACACAAAGCCAGGAGGGGTTTGAAATCAAGGTCAGTAATTTGTGTACATCCCCTCCTGCCACCAAATTGTACCAGCAAAGGCCAAACCATTGCTCAGGGCAGCACGAGGCTGAGCCCTGGAGCTTTGGGAGCTCTCACTCAGCTCTTCCCAGGGGTGCAGGATGACTCTGCTCCCTCTCTTCTTATTTCTATCACAAGCAATGGCGAGGTAAGAGCCAACTCTGCCTACATGAGCAGCCAGAGGATCCTCAGCACCGAGTCCCAGCACCACAACAACAGCAAACCCGTTCCAGGACAAACCCCACCACTCTCCCAACCAGCTGCTTTTGATCCAACTTTACTTCTGGTTCAGCTGTCACAGGAGGGGGTCGGGCAGAGTCTCCCCCACGAGTGTGGGGTTTGTGATTCTGCTGTCATCGCTCTGTGACACTGCAGGGTTTTGGGGGGGTCCTGCTGTGCTCCTGCAGCCTCTGCTCTGGGGGAGCTGGTTGCCCATTCAGACTGGGCGTGGGGGAAGGGGTTGTACAAAACATCGTGAGATTTCCACAGCCCTGAGCTCCCACACTCCTCACTCCAGCTCAGGGACTGATTTGACCTTCATGGAAACTGTCTGATTTTATACCAATATCATCGGGAGCACAATTTGGTTTCCAGGACAAAAATCCAATTTGCTGCTGGGATGCAATGGCTCGAGCTCTTCCCCTGGTATTCCATGGCCCAGTTGTGCCAGGAGCATCTGATACATATTGGGAATCTTCTTTTTTTGTCTGCCAGGTAGAAAATTCTGGTAACAGGAGACCAATTAAGATGTTTTCTATCGTTGTGCTTCTGTGTTGAGAGCAGATACAGGAGGGATTCGCTGATATTTTCCAATCCCTGCCCTGCAAGATTCCCAGCAAATGGATTCCCTGGAGAAATCAGTGGGAAGAAATCTTGTAGCCTTCATGGGAGGAGCTTGAGGGCTTTTACTGTCAGGACCTGCACTGGATGGGTTTGATGTTCCTGGGAAGGGAGGCTGTTGCTTCAGGGGATGCCGATACCTCTGCCTTTACATCTGCAAATGCACAACAAGAGGAGAAAAGAGGGGGATTTGAGATTAGCCAAGGGGGAAGGGAAGGGATTTGAAGGGACAAGGCTGGGATGTGAACAGGGAAGGTGCTCCAAAAACCTCCATAAATAGCAGTAGGTGTGAGGAGCCAGGCCAGGTTTGTGACACGGAGAGCCCACCTTGCTGCAAGGAGGGGATAAAGAGCCACAACTTCCAAGCTGTGACCCCACCAGTGCCTCTGGATCATCCACATTTCCCAGCCAGACCATTCCTCTGCTGAGCCACGTGCTCCTGGCACCCTGTGCTGGGCCAGCTCTCCCCAGGGCACCACAGAGCTCCTGGCTGGGGAATGCTGTGGGATAGAGGGATGTGCAGCCCCCCCATTGCACCGGCACAGCTCCTGCAGCCACAGATCTGAGGAGCTGCTGTGCCCAACCTGCACAGGGCCAGACCCTCTGCTCGTGCCAGCCTGGCATCTCCCCTGACTGCAATTAAACACCCAGCAATTAATTGCAGTGAGGAGCTGAACCTCTTTGCTCAGAGGAGGAGTTTGACTTCTCTCACTGATACACCCAAGTGCCTGCCCTGAGCTTCCCAGCTGGAGCCTCTGCTAAATCCTGACTCCCACTGCAGGATGATTAACAAACACCCTGTTTTTCCTTCATATGCACTTAATTAAGGCATTAGTGAAGGGAGACACTCCGTTTCTCTTCCCCATTAAAAATCTAGCTGCTATTTTAGGGAACAGGTGATATTCTTGAGACTTTATAGGACTCTCTGGACACACAGTTTGCTTTCCTTCCCCTCCCCACAGCACATGGGAGCAGCAGGAAGGGAATGGCTCAGCCCTACATCTTCCCTGGAGTCTCTGGTGACAGCTCCTGGCAGAGGCAGGAGATCCCAGGCATGAGCTGACTGCTGTGGCAGCTGCCTGGGAATGTGCTCCTGCCTGGGAATGTGCTCCTGCCTGGGTGCAGCTCTGGGCATGTTTGCACAGGAGCAACCAGGAGTGACTCAGCCAAACCAGTACAACTGGTATTTGCTGGGCAGATCTCTGCTCTGCTGAGATTCCTCTGTCTGCTGTTCAAAACTGAGTTTACTCTGACAGTGAGGTTTAACATCTAAGCAGGGCAATGTAGGAGCAGCTCTGAGTGAACCTTCCTTGCCTCGACTGGGATGGGTGAGGAGCCAGGATGGCCCTTGCTGTACCCCCTGTGCCAAATTGGGACCAGCTGCTCTGGGGGTTTTGCACGAGTGATCTAGAAAGTGTGGTTTAAACGAGCCAGGAAGGGGCTAGGGAAGATTGGGAAGCAAGGCCAGGGATCTCTTGCTGCCTGTGGGGGTATAGAGATGTATTTTGGTATTTAGTAGGGTGCATGAAACGACAAAGACTGTCCCAGGGACATGTAGCCCAGGGGGAGCAGGTGCCATCCTCTTGCCCCTCTGGAACCCCCCAGAGCGTTTCTGTCCCCCTTCCAAAGGCTGCTATTTGCTCATCCCCTCTGCCAAGGGGCTGGGATGGAACTAGGACATTTAACAACAAATCCCTGCGAGGAAAGATAAAGCAGGGACTAAATGAAACTTTTGTAACTTCTACCTGTTCCTGTTCCTCCTCAGCCCAAGTGCCTGGTTCTGAGGAAGACTGTGGTCACCGGAGCACACGGAGGGAGGGGGCAGGGAGGTGTGGAGGTGCCCTGGGAGCCCCGGGGAGCCCTGGGCCCTCCATCCCGGGTGTGTGGATGTCCCTGTCCCCCCGGGGTCCAGACTCACTCTGTCGGTGGCCGCGGGGCTCTGCCTGTGCCGGGCAGGGCGGTGGCTCCTGGTGCTCCCGGCTCCACAGGGTCCTCATCTTCCTGGCCACATAGCGGCAGGCTGGGGGGAAACGAGAGACCCCTGCTCACTGCAGGAACCTGAAACAACCCCAAAACACCCTCCCCAGCGAGCCCAGAGCGGGACCTCTCGCTGAGCTCGAGGTCCACACAGAAGGGGATCGTGGCGGGGCTTGCGGGACCCGCGGCAGGTTCTGGCCAAAAGCAGCAGAGGGAATGGAGGGACTGCGTTTAACAGGCTGAAAGGGAGTTGTTAGAGTGTCTGGAGCCCACAGTAGTTTCCAGCTACTCCAGCCTTTCTCCCCCACGAGCCAAAGCCATAAAACACGCGGAGTGTTTACCCTGCGGGAACCCCTCTGAGCTCCCTCGCCTCAAACCAGAGGTTTCCTTACCGTTGATAATCACTCAAACCATTTTGTCGCGGGCTCAGCAAATCTGTCCTTCCCAGCCGGCCTGGCTCTGCCTCCCGCTCCTCTCGCAGCAGCTCTGCAGTGTTGACTCACCAAGCCCGGCTCCCTCCCTCCCTCCTTCCTTCCCACGGGGATGCTGCTCCCGGAACGCCCGGTCACGCGCGGGGCGGTGGCTCAGCCTGGCGCTGCCCCCGGGATCCCTGCCCGGGAATGCGATCCCTGCTCCTCCCGGAAAGGAGAAAGTGCTCTGAGAGTTGGCTCCGGGGATTGAGCCGGCCGTGGTGGAGAGGAAAGGGAAAGGAAAGGAAAAAGCGGCCTGGCCGTGGCTGGAGGAGCTGCTGGTGGTGCCTTGTGGCTGCTGGAGGACCTGGGCTTGAGATGCGGGAGCTCATCAGCTGAGCTGGGTGGGATCACTGCGGTGGGCACTGTGCTTGTGCAAGGCAGGGGAGAAGAATGGGATGTTTTTTCTCCTTCCCTGCTGTCGTCTGGGTGCTGCAGGGACATAGATATCTTAGAATCATAAGATGGTTTGGGTTGGAAGGGGCCGTAAAGATCATCTAGTTCCAAAGCTGTGCTGTGGGCACGGGTACCCTACACAATCCTTCCGTCCCCCATCCAGACCTTTGCACCTTTTTATACCCTGTCCTAGTGAATGAGGGGGGAGGAAAGGGTGACATGCCCAGCAGACAAGATGCAGGCAGAAGCTTTGCTTTCTCCAGGGTCCTTTGGGATCCCACCTTCAGAGCACTGATGGATTTTAGTCCTCACTGCAGCCACTTACTGAAGCAATGCAGGTTTTGTACATTTGCCAGACCTTGCTGCTGTTTGTGCTTGTCTGTGCTCCTTAATCTCAGCCAGGTGAGCTCTGAAATCTTCTGCTTTGCCCTTTGACCATGTTTCCCATCTCCAAAGCGAGCACTCGCTGATCCAGGCAGGTCAGACTTTGTTTTCCATGGCCTTGCCTTGGGATTGTGTGAGGTTGGTCAGAGATGTGGCTGGTGGAGGGCAGGAATTGTCTCTGCCAGGGCTGCACAGCCCAGGCTGCTGCAGCACAGGCTGTGAGATCAGTGTGTGGGAGAGAGGAGCTGATGTCTCACCACCCACTCTCAGTCTTGGTCCTCCATGGTGGAAGGTCTGAGTAAGCCCTGATGGGCTGAAAACTGTAAAATACACCATAGAAACCTTCAGCTCAGCTGGTGGCCTGTGGTGCTGCTGTGTGGTGCCAGTGACAGGCAAAAGCTTGAGTGGCCATGAAGAGCAGCCTCTGCTTTAAACCATCGAGGACTCCCCATCACACCATCAGATCACAGAAGGGCTCAGGTGGAAGGGACCACAGAGGGTCATCTGGTGCCACCTCCCTGCTCCAGCAGGGCCATCCCAGAGCACGTGGCACAGGACTGTGTCCAGATGGGTCTGGGATATCTGCAGTGAGGGAGACTCCACCCCCTCTCTGGTCTCTGTTCAGTCATTGCACAGCAAGGAAGTTCTTCCTCATGTCCAGGTGGAACTTCCTGGGCATCAGTTCCTGCCTGTTCCTCCTGTGCCATTGCTGGGCCCCCCTGAGCAGAGCCTGGTCCATCCTCTGCCCCCTCCCTGCAGACCCTGACAGATATTGAGGAGGTCCCTTCTCAGTGTCTTTTCTTGAGGCTGAACAGCTCCAGCTCCCTCAGCCTTTCCTGGTCAGGGAGATGCTCCATCCCTTCAGCATCTTTGTACCCTCTGTTGGACCCACTCCAGGAGCTCCACGTCTCTCTTGAGGAGCCCAGAACTGGACACAGCACCCCAGATGTGGCCTCCATTGAAGCCTGCAGGAGCTTGTGATGCAAGATCTGTAGGTGTTAAAAAAAACAACAATCAAGAGAAACCCCCTAATCCCTGAGCAACACCCTCCAGACCTCCCTCCTGAACCTCTCAACCTCCAACCCCCTCTGGAGGAACAATCCTTCCCGTTCTCAGATGAGCTCCCCAGGACAAGGGGAATGATTGTACCTTGTGCTGAAGCACAGAGTGAAGGTGGCTGGAGGAGTGAACTGCTCTTCTGAGGCTTTGCTGCTGGCAATTTGACTCCACACACCGCCCTGGGGTGTTCTCCTCTGCCAAATGTCACCGTGGAGCTGCCGCCTTGGGTGTGCAGGCACATCCCTCTAGATGGTGCTAAGATAAAGAGAAAAGATGGGTGGTGAGAGGCCTGGGAGGAGGGATGTCCTCCTGGGTGTGGACTCTGCTCATCTGGCCCTGCCAGAGGTCTCCTGGGTGAGGAGAACACCTCCCTCTCCTCTTGCTCCCGGCGAGGCTCCCATGCCCTCGTCCAGGCGCTCTCCTCTGGTGCTCATCGTGTCCATTGGCAGCAAACACATCCCAGGCCCTTCTCCCAGCTGTCATTTCCCTTCCTGGTGTTGGAGACTCCACGAATTCATCACGATTTTAATCAGTGCATCTTCTCCCACCCGTGCACGGGATCAGACAAGTTGTATTTTTAATGGCAAAAATCCATCTTGGCTGGTTTTTTCCACTTCAACCCGTTTTACTGAGCAGCACAGCTAAGACTCATCAGCTGAGTCCTCTTCTATCTCATGCACCATTAACCAGAATCTTAACCAAATTCAAGCATGGATAATGTTTGATTTATTGATGTGGGCAATCAAAAGAGAATTCAGCCTGGCTGCCAGAGAACAGCAAGGATTAGTGTGAAGGGAAGTCATTTAGGTCCACAGCTGAACAGATTTTACTGTGGAGTCCCAGATGGGCAGTAAATGAGCTGTTGAAAGAGAGATGTTGTTAGAAGAGACTTTTAAAAAAGAATAGCCACATTCAGGTCTGGTTTTTTTTTCCCACTAAGTGTAAATAGGGTGAAGAACAACTCTGTGAACCTCAACAGCGCTGATGAGGTGAGCTGAGCTCCTCTCCCCTTGCCTTCTGCAGAGGGAGAGGATGATCCTACACAGTGAAGGTACCAGGGCACAACCAGGCAGCTCCTTGGCACAGGCAGGCTTAGCTTGATTGGGATTGAGGAATCTTCAGCTCCCACCCAGGACTGGGACCACAGAGCAGCCTCACAGGGGAGTTTTCCTGCTGGTCCTGTGCACTCAGCTCCGGCAGCTGCCCCTCTGTCACCGCTTCCCTCAGTCACTGAGAGAGCCTGTTACATGTTTTAATTGCTCCCCAATCTAGATTTGTTGGCCTGAGCATTGTGTGTGGTTTCTACTGATACAGGAGGACTGCTTTTGCCAATTTTTCTTTCCAAGAATGGCTCAGCTCCATTTGTGATGAGCCCATAAACTGGATTAAGGGCTCAGAGACAGATTTGCTAGTATTTGAAACCCATAATCTGGGTTGGGCTTTCAGCACAGCTCAGTGCCCTTGTAAGCAGCAAATTATGGTCGTTAAGTGCTCAGCACTTTGTGGTTTGTATCAGGCTGCTCGAGGCCATGGTTTCTGTGAAGCAGCACCCAGAGCTCTGGGATCTTGGGAAAAGCAGGGCAGTGTTCCCAGTGCTGATGTGAGAACTGAGCTTTTCTGACGATGAGACTCCCCAGCCTCTTGATTCTCCTTTTCAAGAAGCTCTAAGGAATTAGTCATCAAGTCAATCCATGCCCTGCAGACAACCTGCCACCCGTTCAGGCTCTGATATTGCCCAGGACAGAACATCACCCGAAGCTGAGGAGGGACCTCATCTCCAGCCATCAGTCTGATGCCATTTCAGACCATCTCTGCTGTGGCCACCTCTGAGACCTGTGGGGTCTGCAGAGAGACCTCAGTTAAACCAGGGCTGTTCCAGGGATGTGGCCACAGCTCAGTCACACTCACAGACTCATTTGGGTGGGAAGGGATTTTAAAAATCATCTCATTCCACCCCCCTGCCATGGGCAGGGACACCTTCCACTAGCCCAGGTTGCTCCAAGCCCCATCCAACCTGGCCTTGGACACTTGCAGGGATCCAGGGGCAGCCCCAGCTTCTCTGGGCAACCTGTGCCAGGGCCTCCCCACCCTCCCAGGGAAGAATTCCTTCCCAATATCCCATCTAACCCTGCCCTCTTTCAGTTAGAAACAATCTCCCTCTTATCCCATCACTCCAGGCCCTTGTCCAAAGTCTCTCTCCAGCTCTCCCAGAGCCCCTTGAGGGAAGTGCCCAATTTTCCCAAGTGTGTTGTGGATTTTTCCCCCCAGCCCTTCTCCCAGTGCTTCAGCTCAGCCCCATGGTGGCACCTTCCTTTGAACACCAGTTTGGTCAGGAGGACATAACCTGGGGGAGATGGATTTGGGGAGATGGGAGTGGGGATCTGGTCCTGTTCAGAAGAAAGGTCAGGTGACATTTATCATCCAGGGGACTGCAAACCAGCTCAGGAGCAGCTCAGAGGGCTCTGTAAACATGATGCTGCTGCTGTTGACTTATGTGCTGAAAATAACCATGGATAAACTGATACCCTGGAAAACCTTACTGGCATCAGGAGGAGTCAAGGAGTAAGCAAAGCATCAGCAAGTCCACACAGAGCTTCCTGCAGAGATCTTGGGATGGAGGGGTCTCAGAATCACAGACCCTCCTGAGCTGGAGGGGATCCACAGGGATTGAGTCCAACTCTGCCCTGCACAGGACCATCCCCAACACTCACACCACGTCTCAGTGCCCAGGAAACTCTTGAGATGGCAATAATTGATAACAAAACCATGCAAAAGGATTTTTTTGAGCTGAAAAATGGCATCATGTTTTTTTCCGGACGCTTCGTTCTTGGCACGGATGGTGGGGAATTTTGGTTGATTCAAACATTCCTCAGGTGGTTGTGGCTCTTGGTGACCTCTCTGCTGTGGTACTGCTGCTCGTTTCTGCTCCTGGGCCTGTGCCACCAGCCCAGCCCAGCTCTTCCTCTCCAACCTGGATCCAGTCGTGGCAAACAGAACATTCCTGGGTAATTGGTCCTGATGTTCACAAGTCTGAGGAGAGGTGAAGGTGGCTGCAATGCAAAACAGCCCAAAATCCTCTACCTGTGCCTTTGGCAAGGTGACAGCCCTGCTGAAAGGAAACAGAGACACCAGCATGACTCAGAAATAAATAACCATGACACGGAAAGTGCCCAGCCCAGGGCTCCAGGAGGATGAGGGGGCTTGTAAGAGCCCCAGGGCGAGCCAGCAGCTTGGTTTGTGCCCCGTGGAGCTCAGGCAGGTGTTGGCAGCGATGCCAGCCCGGCTTGGCACATCCCCAGACCCTCTGAGCCGAG